GATAGCCCTTCACAGCAGCAGCCAGTGCCAGCCCAATTCCTGGGGCACATGCAATGGGTAAGGGGACCTGGTGCCCTTCAAGCCCTCCCGCCCCTGCTGGAACATCAGAGTTATGCTCCACTTCCAGCTCTCCAGACTGGAAGACCCATGGGAGAGGGTACAGTAGGACCCCAAACCACCCAGCATAGCCCGTTTCCACCCTTAAATGTAGGGGTAAGAAGAGGGAATGCTAGCCAGGGTGGTGGCGGTATCTGTTGTCCCAGCTGCTCAGGAGGCTGAGGCAGGAGGATCACCTAAGCCCAGAAGGTCAAGGCTACAGTGAGCCTTGACCATGCCACTGCATAGCATCCTGGGCAATACAATGAGATCCCCAACTTAAAAAAAGGAGAGATTTCAGTCAAAGGCCAATGTGCTTAGGAAGAGGAAGACACAGGCAGAACATGAAGTCCTGATCCTCTGGGCTGTGTCCTGGGGTGTGGCAAGTAGCAACAACAGCAGTAGGAACAAACTCTGGGCGCCTGTCTTGCATGCTGGGCACCTCCAGGTACAGTCCCTGGATGCCATCACACAGGCCCTGCTGGCAGGAGGTTGGAAGAAGCTGGGCTGGGACACACCCATGGGAGGTACCCAGGAAAGGGACCAGCCAGGCGTCCCCATTCCTGTCCCTCCTGGAGGCCTTAGCACCCACTGGCTGGCCCCAGCCATCCACCTGTGTTCCCAGATGTTGGTTCGATGATGGTGTCCCCTGGCTTCAGTGTCCCAGCACGCTCGGCGTCCTCAACCATGCGCAGGCTTATGCGGTCCTTCACGCTCCCACCCGCATTGAAGAACTCACACTTGGCCACTGGGAAGCAGAAGTGAGTCAGAGAGGAAGGGGGCCCGAGACTGAGTGAGAGATTCCTGCTTATCCAGTCACCCGCTGCGCCCAGGATGAGGAAGGGGCTTGGTTTCTGAGGTCACTGCCTCTGCACCCATCTCCCACACCTGTACCTGGGCACTCACCCATGGGAGCTGTCCCCCCGAGCCCATCCTATTCACATGGCAGCTGTGAAAAGAGAAAAAGGCACCAGGAGCCCCACCAGAACCCCCGGGGACAGGAGAGTCCCAGTATGGACAAGCCGGGCATGCACTGGTGGTGGACTTGAGACCACACACCCCTTGCCAAGCCATGCCCAGTGGCCTTGGCCAGGCCAACTCAATGTCCTGAGGCCACAGGCCCATCACACCCTGCCCTGTCAGTTAGGGACCTGCCAGCCCTCCATGATGGCCTCTCATCATCCTCCCCTGTGAGGAATCCCTCGCCCAGGGAAAGGGCTCCATTTCCTCCCCGATGCAGTTAAGATGCTAGTCCCCGCCCCCCCCACCCCGGCTAAGTCCTTCTCTGTGCTTTCCTTTCCTTTTCATTGTATTTTTGTAGAGATGAGATCTCACTATGTTGCTCAGGCTGGGATTACAGGTCTGAGCCACTGTGCCTGTCCCTGTCCTTTGCCTACTGAAGGTGGAAGAAAGGCCTGGCAGGAAGACAAAGGCTGTGACCTTCCCTCAGTGCAGGTGGATGGACCCCTCCCCATCTCTTAAAAATATCTGACTGGGTTCAGTGGCTCAGCCTGTAATCCCAGCACTTTGGGAGGCTGAGGTGAGTGGATTGCCTGAGCCGGTGGGTTGGAGACCTACCCAGGCAACTTGGCAAGATCTTGTCTCTACAATAAATAAAAAATTAGCCGGGCGTGGTAGCACGCGCCTGTAGTTCCAGCTACTTAGAAGGCTCAGGCGGAAGGATCACTGGAGCCCAGCAGGTCAAGGCTGTGGTGGCCGGGAGAGTGCCACCACACTCCAGTATGGGCAACAGAGTGAGAGACCAACTCAAAAAAAAAAAATGTAAGAACCAGCCATTGTTCACAGGGGGGAAGACACCCTCCAAAATGAAATTTACTTATAAAAATTGTGTATTTATTCTTGCATGCTTAAACTTCAGCTACCTTCAGCCAGGCACAGTGGCTCATGCCTGTAATCCCAGTACTTTAGGAGGCAGAGGTGAGAAGATTGCCTCAGCCTAGGGTTTGAGACCAGCCTGGCCAACTTGGCAAGACCTCATTTCTACAATAAATTAAAAAATTAGCCGGGTGTGTTGGCATGCATCTGTAGTTCCAGCTACTTGACAGGCTGAGGTGGAAGGATTGCCTGAGCCCAGCAAGTCAAGGCTAAAGTGGCTGTGAGTACATCACTGCACTCCAGCGTGGGCAACAGAGTGAGACTTCAAATTTTTTTTAAAAATTAAAAAAAAACACAAAAAACAAAACTTCAGTTACCTTTAAAGTACTCCCTGTTTGATGTTATACACCTGTTGAGATGCCTTTTCCACTGCTCAAAACAGTTTTTGAACTTTCATTTTTGATGCCTTTTAGTGGTTCTGCCATTTTTTGTTTCACCTCTTCCACATTGGCAGAAAGTGTCCCCTTGAAGACTTTTTCATCCAGAGAAACGAAAGTCGCTCTAGGCGAGATCCAGTGAATGGGGGAGTGGGGCATGGGGGGTCATGTTGGTTTTGGTCAAAAACTGCTGAACATTCAGCGCAGTGTGGGCAAGCGTGTTCACAAATCACCCATCATGAAATGGACAAACGTGTTGAAAGAATCGCCACCAAAAAAACCCCAAAAAACTCACCGAAGCCAAACATAGCCTCTCACAGTACTAGCAGATACATGGATACTGATGTGTTCCTAAAATACTTACCTGGCAGGGGAAGCCTGTACTACAAGGGGCCTGCCCTACAAAATACAATTCTGGGGTTTTTTGAGTTCCCCCACCATATTTAGAGAATTTCTTTCCCAGAGGGGCAGAAGAGGGCCAGGCTCCCACAAGGCCCCTCCTGGGGACTGGCAATCAATTCTAAGTGCACCAAACTCCCCCACCGACTTCCTGGAGACCCCATCTGCTGCTCTTACATGTCTCCACTGCAGTGATATTTCCTCTTCTTTGTCTAGCAGGCATCTGAGTAGAAATGTCCATAACCAAGTCACTAGTTTCCTTCCCATTGCTGCTCAAACTGCACACTCCTCCAACTTCTCCATTCTAGGGTTCTTCATGGCACCCCCTGCCCCTAGCTCATTTGGCCCCACCAAAATATGTAATTCAGTCTACCCCACACCCCAGGGCCTCTACACCTGCAGCTTCCCCTGTGATGATGTTAAAATCTATCTGGGCCCTGTGCTCTTTCAAAAGAGCAATGCTTACGAATTCCCTCCACCCACCTGCATCTGGAAACAGCTTCCTGCAAAGAACTGTCATTTTCCCATATAGCTCAGATAAAAGACCCTGTGTTCACCTAGTACAAGATCAGCCACAGACCCTCTAATCCCCACTCTGTCTCATACATGATTCGCTGAACTGTCAGTCCCCATGAAACTAGCAAAACCCAGAGACAAACGCCTCCTGTCCTGCTCAATGACTGAGTCCTGTCACATCTCCCATCTAGGACTTGTCCACTGGTCTCTACAAAAGCTTGAGGCAGGACAGGCACAGTGGCTTACAGCTGTAATCGTGGCACTTTGGGAGGGTAAGGTGGGAGGGTTGCTTCAGCCCAGGAGTTTGAGACCAGCCTGAGCAACATAGTGAGACCTTGTCTCTATTAAAAACTAAAAAAAAAAAAAAAAAAAAAATTAGCTGGGCATGGTGGTGCACACTTGTAGCCCCAGTTACTTGGGAGACTGAGGCAGGAGATCGCCTGAGTCCAGAGAGTCAAGGCTGTGGTGAGCGAGATTGTGCCCCTGAACTCCAGCCTAGGTGACAGAGTGAGACCCTGATTCAAAAAAAGAAAGAAAAGCCTAAGGCAGAACCACCACACTCAGTTTCCTTACTTGCTAAGTTCTGCCTTGACCTCTGCCTGGACCTTCACACTCTCACTCCTTCACATTTAGGCTTCAGCACAAAGGTCACCCCTTTCCTGGCCATTGGCTCCAGGGGGCCATCTCAGTCACCCTCTAACATGTCACTTGTAGTTTCTTCCCAAACTTAACTGATATGCTCTCAGCCATTCATTAGCCAGCATGTTTTCTGGCTCCACAATCCATACTCCACCCCAGGGCCCTGCCTAATGGGTCCATCCCAGGATGAGCCCCCCTTCCCACCCCAACCTGCCACTGAGTCTTACATATGGTGGAGGAAGCCCCCCTCGAAGCCAGGCTACTCACAGAGCTCACACTTCAGGCCAAACTTCTTCCCGATCTTGTTGATTCTGACCATGGGGGTGTCCCCAATTTTCTTCAGAATATCAGGCAAGATTTTTGGAGATTTTGTCCTAAAACAGGAGTCAACAATTATTCAGGAAAAAAACAAAACAGAGCAGAACCAGCCCTGGCAGTCCAAGTGCATTGTTTTTTTTTTTTTTAAAATCGAGAATCAAACAGTTGGCTTTAATGAAGGAGTAGGGTGGTAGTTACAAAAATCTACATATACCTGCAACACACACACACACACTCATACACACACATGCCTGTACCTAAAAACCTACAAAAAACCAAACAATGCCAGCAATTTAGTTGATGGCATTGCAGCCATGCAAGTCTCCCAGGTTTGAAAATGTACTACAGACATGTGAGATGTTATCAGTGGGAAACTGGGTGAAGGGTGTTCTCTATTATTTTTGGAACTTCTTGTGTTGAATTATTTCCAAATAAAAGTGTTAAAATTGGCTGGGTACAGTGGATCAAGTCTATAATCCCAGCACTGTGGGAGGATTGCTTGAGGCCAAGAGTTTGAGACCAGCCTGAGCAACATAGTGAGAACCACTTCTCTACCAAAAAACACAACAAAGTTAAAATAAGCAAACATTGACATCCAACAACAGATTCAGGTCAATCTTTTTAGAAATTCTTGGGGGCCAGGCAAGGTGACTCACGCCTGTAATCCCAGCACTCAGGGAGGCTGAGACAGGAAGATTGTTTGAGCCCAGGAGTTCCAGACTGCAGTGAACTATGATCGTATCCCTGCATTTCACCCTGGGCAATAAAGCGGAAAAGTCTTTCCCTAGGAATTCCTTTTCTTTGTTTTTTGTTTCGTTTTTATTTTTTTGAGTTGGAGTCTCACTCGGTTGCCCAGACTGGAGTGCAGTGGCCGCTCCTGGCCACCGCATCCTCGACCTGCTGGGCTCCGGTGATCCTTCCGCCTCAGCCTTCCAAGTAGCTGGAACTACAGGAGCACGCTACCAAGCCCAGCTAATTTTTGATTTATTGTAGAGACTGAGGTCTCGCCAAGTTGCTCAGGCGGGTCTTGAACCCGCGGGCTCAGGCAATCCACTCCCCTCAACCTTCCAAAGCACTGGCATTACAGGCTGAGCCACCGAGCCCGGCTTCCCTAGGAATTTCAAGTCCCTTCATGTCTCAGCATGTGGCTGCCGGGATACCTCTTTTCTTTGATGAAAGAGTGACGTGCTGACCCCAGAGCAGAGACTCCTTAGGCCTCAGGCCACCAACCAGTGACAATGACTGTAACTGTGCAGAAAACACCAGCCCAGCACATGAAGTGCTGCATCCTAGATAGAAGAGCCAAGAGTTGGGAGCAGTCACCTGTGCCCTTGGGGCCAGGGTTAACGTTCAGCCATTCTCCCAGTGGTTTTCCCACCTGACAAGATGGTAGCACAGGCACTGTCGCTGGGCCTGCGAGGCAAACCCCCAGCCAGGTAGTTTCCCAAATGGCCCCAGCGCTCCTCCTGCCACCCTCACCTCAGGGGCAGATGCCCATCCCAAGCCCTCTCTCCCATGCACATGCTCACTAAACATCCATCTGAGAACTCACAGGCCTCATCCTGGCTTGGCCCTTGCATTTCTTTCGTTTCTTTTTTTTCATTTTATCATTCTCTCTTTATTTCTAACATTTTTCAACTACATTAAGAAACAGGCACTGTCTACGATACATGTACTCACAGTTTGTCATTTTTGAATCGTTAGTACATAACTTTGTGTGAAAAAAATTACCAAACAGAATAGAGTGTTTGTGTACAGTTCTTGTGTATTACACTATTAAATCAAAACATTCTTTACTTTTGATAAGTTCAATAACTATTGCTTTTATTTTGAAATTTTTATTGTATATATCTATCTATTTTAGAGCTGTGGGTACCAGTGAGGATTTGCTACCTAAGTAGCCTGCATGCAGGTGAAATTTGGGCTTCTAGCTGGCCCTCATCCTATCCCCCACCCCACAAAGGACCAGGAACCCTTTGTGTTGTCACATGCCTCCCTCCCCTAACAGTGCCCAGGGACTTCGGATCCCACCCTTGTGCTACCTGGCCCTTGCAGCCTCAAGCCACCTCACCAGCTCAGGCACCTACTCAGTAGGCAGGTTCCTCGGTGGTGAAACTTGGACCTGGGTGGGCCCAGTTCCCCAGGGGATCCTGAGGCCTGTGAGAAATGCGACATTCCTGGGTGGAGGGAGAGACCTCTCACCCCATGGAGATTTCAATCAACATGGAGAGGGAATCCAATCCGCCCCATGGAGGTAGAGAGCAGCCCTGTCCTGCTCCCTGGAGGCCCAGAGGAGCCCAGACAGACGCTCCAGGTTGTGCTGGGGGTGGGAGGGGCTCCCTCCAGAGGCTTGGTGAAAGAAACAGCTGGGCCTGACCCCAGCCTTGGAGGCCTGGCAGGAACTCGAGCCCTCAGGGAACAGTGCTGGAGGTGAGATCATTAACTCAGGTCAGACCCACAGAAGGGAGGAGGAGAACCTGCATCCAGGAAGCCAGAGGAGGATGAGACCTGCCCCCACAAGGCAGAGGTGGGGGCATGTGAAGAACTCAGGGCTGCTGACTCAGCCCAGGGCCTGGTGTGCCTGTAAAGCCACCTGAGAATTATGCAGAGGTGATCATGGCAGGGTGGCAGGGTCGCCGGTCACTTAACAAAATGAGGAATAGAATTTGTAGGAATGAGTCTAGAGTCAACTTAGTTCAAGAACTTCGACCCTGACAGCCCCAGGAGGCCTCACTGGGGATGACCTGCAGCGTCTTAGAGTAAACCTTTACCTCCCCCATCCTGCCTCCTCTGCAGCCTCTCTCTCTCACTCTGCCATTCTCCAGCGTCCTCTTTCTAAGTCCCAGAACCCTCTGGAATGGACATCCACATGGCTGGTGCCTGCTGGCCGCTAGGCACAGCTCCTGGCCCCCAGGCCACCTCCTCCTGTGCTACCTCATGCCCCATAAAGTCTCCATGTGAGGAGCCCCTGGAGACCTTGGTCCACTGCACCTCAGTGTTCTCCTCACCGTGAGCCTCCCCAAGTGAACACACAGGTACGTGGGGCTGTCTGTCTCAGTAAGTGACGCCAGCCCCTCAGGGGCATTCTGAGGATGAGTGACCCAGCATGTGGCATGCATATCACCTCACAGCCTAGACAGCCACAGGATAAGCCTTGGTGTCATGAGCTTCCAGAGCTGTGGGATCCTCCCTGCCCACCCCACCCTGCAGGCACACCCCAGCTGCACCAGTATCTCACCCGCTGCTTTGGTTGTCTCAGCAGCGAGGGTCCATCTGTCTGGTGACTGCCTGGGGACCTCCTGAGCTCCCAACACCGAGATGAGGTGGGCAAACAGAACTTCTGGGCTTGTCAGTTTCATTACTTTCTACTGGTTCCACTGAGTACACTTACCCCCAGCCCATACATCCTGTTTTTGTTTTGTTTTGTTTTTAAAGTCAGGGTCTCATTCTGATACCCAGGCTGGAATGTAGAGGCATGATCATGGCTCACCATAGCCTCTACCTCCTGGGCTCAGGCAATCCTTCTACCTCAGTCTCCTAAGTAGCTGGGACCACAGGTGCACACCACCACACCTGGCTCATTTTTTGGATATTCTATATAGATGAGGTCTCACTATGTTGCCCAGGCTGGTCTCAAACTCCTGGGCTCAAGCAATCCTCCATCTCAGCCTCCCAAAGTGCTGAGATGACAGGTGTGAGCTACTGCACCCAGCTCTTTCTGATTTTTAAATCAAGAGCTGAAAATGCAGCCGGGCTCAGTGGCTCAGCCTGTAATCCCGCGCCCTTGGGAGGCTGAGCTGAGTGGATTGCCTGAGCCCCCAGGTTTGAGACCCGCTTGGGCAGGCGAGACCTCATCTCTACAATAAATCCAAAAATCAGCCGAGCTTAGTAGCGCATGCCTGTAATTCCGGCTACTTGGAAGGCTGAGGTGGAAGGATCGCCAGAGCCCAGCAGGTTGAGGCCGTGGTGGCCAGGAGCGGCCACTGCACTCCAGTCTGGGCGACAGAGTGAGACTCCAACTCAAAAAAAAAATCAGCCGGGCGTGGTAGCGCATGCCTGTAATTCTGGCTACTTGGAAGGCTGAGGCGGAAGGATCACCGGAGCCCAGCAGGTTGAGGCTGCGGTGGCTGGGAGGA